CAATGAGGTCTAGGAGAAGGGCAGGGGCAATAGTGACAGAAAGCTACACTGAAGAAGTTGTTCAGAGGAAGGACGAAGGTTTCCTGTGGGCAGCGAGGCACTGAGACAGAAATCCCTGAAGGAGAAGGTGGTTTAGGAAACGGATCAATTCACATGTTGGGTCTGAGGTGCCTTTGGGACATCCGGGTGAAGCTGTCCATCGGGTTTGGCTGGATGGCCTGGCGCTCCTGGGAGAGGTCCAGGGGTTAGAGCAAAGCGGATGAGTGTGAGGAGTCAGCCTGCCTGGGTCCAAGTTCTGGTTCTTCCTCTTACTAGCTGAGTGACCCTGAGCAAGTTACTCTGACTTTCTATACCTCAGTTTCCTTACTATAAAATGGTATCGGAACCTATCTAGAATAGGGTTGGTTGCCCTGAGAATTAAGTTAATGTAAGTAAAAAGTGTGGAGTGCCTGGATCAGAAAAAGTGCTCAATGATCAGGAAAAGTGCACCCATTTCAGCCACGGGCCTCTCAGGCATGGGACAATAGGGTAGGAGATAGAAGGGGGCAAGTGACACAGCCTCATTTCTGGACAAGGAAAGGGAGACCTGTTGGGATCCAGCTAACTGCTGTGCCCCCGCACGCAGCTGCTTAGGGATCCCTGGGTATCAGAGCAGACTGCTTCCTTCTGTCCTGTCACGCAGCGCCTCAGGTGGGACTCACTCTCCCCAATAATGACTGCAGTGTGGCTATGGGAGCACCTATGGGGCTTATTAAAATGCAGATTCCTGGGCCCCACCCCAGAGCTATAGCCAGACTCTCAGGGGTGATGCCCAGAACTGTGTGCTTTAAGCCAGCCCCCAGCCCCCACGCCCCCTTAAATCTTATGGACAGTGAAGCTTGAGAATGCGGCCTGGGAGCAAGACACCATGGCTGAAGTGAGGCATTCTGCGGGAGAAAACCAGTGGCAATTGTTTTCATTCTTCACCTCTACTGATCATTTTGGCTCCTTTATATAATTCAGTAAAGTATGTAAGGTTTTAAATAGCCAGACAATGCCCATCATCCCATAAAGGCAGTTTTTCCTTGGAAAAAAAATTATTCTATGGGAATATTTTAGGAAAAAAAGATCCATGTAGGTTGAGGTGGTTATTACTGCTTTTCACCTTAGCCTGGATAAAGGACTTTTGACAAGGGAAGTGACAGCTCTCTTCAATTATATATATTCACCTAGGACTATCTAGAGAGCAGAACTAGGACAAAGACAAGAAGGAAGTAGATCTGGGTTCAAGAAATGACCAAACTAATAGTTGAGCTGTGCAAAGAAGGATGGGCCCCTGGCCAGGTGGAGATGGCACGCAGGGGGTTATAAGGCGGGTCCCGTGTGGGGCAAAAACTTGGACTGGATGACTCTTAAGATTCTTTCCAATTTTAATATTATGTGAGGCTCCATTAAGTAAGGAAAAAAAAAACAAAAACAAAAACAAAAAACGAGAGGGCGCCTTTTAAACAGAATGTCATAGTTCTGGAAAAAAGAAAGTTGTTGCTGATGGTTTTTGGTTGGTTGACAAGTGAATGTTGTATGTAATGAGGAAAATAAAGCAGTCTTTGTGATGAAAATTTGAAGACTACTCAGGGCCAGGCATTGGGATCCACTGTTTAAAAATGCAGTATCTTAAAAATACGACAAAACACTTGACCCACAGTGATGGCTATATGAATTAGCTAATAACTCCAGTCACTATTGTATTAACTCCACTTTACATACGAAGACACTGGCTGAGAAACGTTAGGTGACTTGTTCAGGATTATCCAGCCATTAAGTGAGTGAATCTTGATTCAAACAAGGGCTGACTTTAACAGCTACTAACCATTATGCTGCGCTGATGTCCAGTGGGTGAAGATATTCATCCAAAGTAAATCCGCAAGGACGTATGTATGGACCTTATGTAGGCAAAGCGGAGGAGTGGCTGGCTGTCTCTTCTCTCAGACGGTTTCTCTTTGGGGAGACAAGATGCATCTAGAAAGCACACTCGGTGTGGTCGGCTAGCTCTCCAGGGACCCAGAGAGGGTCTTTCAGCATGAATCTTTCTACTGACATAACATTAGACTTGTAACAAAAAGCCAAGATTTCACTGATGTCTTGTCAAAAGCACCATTTTTCACTTTGAGGGGAGGTGGAGCAGAGGCATTCAGAGGCTGGTTGGGTTGCTTTCGTTGGAGTTGGTAGTTTACTTTAGGAGACAGCAATTCCTAGCACACTCGTTTTCCTCTTCTCTGCCCTCCTCCACCTTTCAGCAACCAAGCAGCAGCCCTGGGAGTCGGGGTGCTGTCATTGCTGTACCACCCACAGAGCAGCAGAGGGCAGCAAAACACACTCATGCAAACAAGTATTAAGTCTGGGAACACTGGACAAGGAGCTCTCGGTGGACACTGGGCAAGGCACAGTGGTTAAGCGTTCAGCTGCTAACTGAAAGGTTGGTGGTTTGAACCCACCAGCCGCTCCTTGGGAGAAAGGAGTGGCAGTCGCTTCTGTGAAGATTACAGCCTTGGGAACCCTATGGGGCAGTTCTACTCTGTCCTATAGGGTCACTCTGAGTTGGAACTGACTCTACGGCAGTGGGTTTGCTTTGGGGTTTGGGGGGACACTGGTTATGCTTTGAAAATGTTTTTACATCATTTGGAGAATTGCAGAGAAGGAATATTACTGATTCAAAATAATGAAACCAAAGATATAGAAGGAAGTACAAATTACTAGCTTAAAAGAAACTTAGTAATAATTTAAAAAATTCCTAATGACACAGTGACACAGCTCGTCTCCTGACTTTAAACACCACTCTGAAGGGGTCTGAACTGGGGTGATTTTCTTTGGTCCCTTCCTCCTGCTGTTCTTGTGGGCAGCTCCCGTGTGCCTGTGACAGTCTATTGTTCCAACTTGGCATAACATGGAAGCTTGTCTTTACACATTCAAGGAGAAGGCACTGAAGGTTACGATTCACTCACAATTCAGGAACTAACTTTGCACGCTGAAGCTACACAGCTGTGATCGCCCTCCCGTTTGACTTCCTAACTGAACTTCAGATGAGCCTCACCTGAAGTCCTGTGCACTTGGTTGCCAGTTTCTCTGGTTTTTGTTCTGTAAACGCTCCTTGGTCTTCCTGTAGTGTGCATCCTCTCATTCTCCTACAGAATCTCAGGGAGCAGGAGTCAGCCACGGAAGCTTAGAAGCTCCCCACTGGAGGCTCCTGTGCTTGTGAATCCACAGCAAGGCAATTCAAGCATTTGCCCCTGGTTTTTAGTGGTGATCAGGAGGCCGACCTGGAGAACTCCTGTGTTAGGCGGGGGGCATTCTAACAACAGGAGGCTCTGGAACCAGGCAACAGCCTGTGTTTGAACCGCAGCTCAGCCACTTAACAGTTGAGTTGATTTTACCATGTTATCTCTCATCTTTGTATTCAATTTCCTCATTTGCACAATGGGGATGACCTACTTCACTGTGTGGTTGTGATAAACATTCATTAAACACCTACCATGTGTCAGGTACTGTGTTAAGACTTGGTGATACGGTCATTGAAACAGAAGTCTGGCTGTCACGAAGCTTACACTGCAAGAGGGGGTGACAGGTGACAGAACAGGGTCACTTCAGATTGTGGTGAGGGCCCAGGGAGAGAAACCAGCTGGTGGTGCAGCAGGCATCTCAGGATGAAGTGAGCTGGTCGGGAAGGCTCAAACTGCAGCCACAGATGCGGGTAGTGGGCGGAGGGGGCTGCTGCAAAGCCCTAATGCTGAAACGTGCTGGCAGGCTGGGGGATGAGAAAGGTGGCCGGGATGGGTGGGGAGGGGCGAGAGGCAGGTGACGACAGATTCTGTAGGGCCACTCAGGCAGTCTCAATTTTCATCTAGGTGCAATCAGAAGCCAGAAGAGGTAAGTCATGATTAATTTACATTTAAAATGAATCATGGGGCTGCAGTGTAGATAAGGACCGTGAGGCAATGGCCCCTGGGCACAAGAGGGAGAGCATACAATAAGATAAGCAGTGCCTGGCACCAACCGAACAGTAGATATGGGAAGTTTCACTACTTTCAAAATAACATATGGGGAGTCTGTGCTCCTTTAAAAGAAAAATACTTTTCTATTACAGTAAAACCTGTGAAAGCTGGAACCTGTGTAATGCAGGAACCTGTCAGAGAAGGAAAACAAATATTTTCCACAAAATAGAGCGCAACAGGGAAGTGGTGACCATACCCTGTCAAAGGCAGAAAACTTTCAAGACCTGGAAAAACAAAGAAGTCCCGTAGAGTTCTGGCTCTCACAGATTTCACTGTTAACAATCTGTGTTGACTTTCTCTGAACAGGGACAGTACATCCAAGTTTTAAAAAGTGGCTCATTTTCTTCTTGGGCTACAGAAAATCCGTCTACACCCATTGTGATTATTATACTCACTGTAGGAGTCTTGGGTAAATTTAACACTTGCATTTATTTCTTCCATTATAAAAGTAATATAAGCACATTACAAACATTTTGAAAAGGGAAAAAAAAATCAAAAACACAAAACCACCACCCTAACACAAAAACTGCTTCAGCATTTTAGTATATTTCCTTTTAGACTTCAGATGAATCTGAAATTTATTTAATACTGAGAGTCTCAAGCACTGTAGAAAAGAAACGAAAACGCTGGTTCTTACTGTGTTAAATATTTTTTGATTCTTCAAAGCATTTTTTTCTTTCAGCAGAGAAAGTTGAAAACATATACACAGTCACAAAGATTAAACTCTCTGAAGTCTGCACAGCCTCTAACCAAAAGTTACTGGATAGAACACATTTAATTCTGTTGCTCAAAATAAAACCCTAAAGAGAAAGAAATCCTAGCTACTACTGACTCACTGGGTACACAAGACCAAGGAAGTTAAATCCGAGAGCCAGCTCTGCTTGCTTAGAACGGTGTGAGCTGTCAGGTTATGCAGTCTGCACAATCACGGGAACCCCAAACTCTCCACAGGTGTGTGTGTCTGTAGGGCGGGGGGAGAGGTGTCTTATGACCATTATATTTGAACAGTAAACTAGCTAACAGCCAGATATGCAAGATTTGTCTTAAATCACCTTTATTTTAAAACATTACTGTGAAATTTGAATTGTCCAAATTTTATATGCAGAGAAAATGTTTGAACTTCTTTCCAACTTCTGGGGGAAATTAAGATCAAAATTGGGGTTTTTCATTTTTCCTTTTCTTGTTTATTGACTTAATTTTTTAGATTCACTCTGTGCTTCTCATCTTCAAGACTCAGTGGAAATACAGCACTGGCACTTTAGAGAACATTCTGTATCGCATGTAAATACTTTCAAGATCAGCTTTAATTAAGGCATAAATAAGTACAAAGATGGATCAGACCGGACAGCAATTGGCCTAGACCAGCTCAAGCAGTAGGTCAGATGATGAAAGTAACCAAGGAAGAAAAGTGCTCACGTACACCTTGGTTTACCACACTGGAAAAATGTGGTTTCTGGATACTCATAGAGCAGGAATATTTCTCAAAGTTGCACGGGAATTTTACAAATTCATTACCCCCACTTTCTTAAACAGTCAACCCCAAGACAGCCAAATAACATTCTCAGACATTGTCACCAGAAAAAATCTCACACTGCAGAAAAAAATTTTGTCATAAATGAATTTGACTGAAATGCATGGCCAGAAAACCACATTTCCAGTTTGCAGGCACTAAAATTAAAACAGCAAACCCAAACCCCTCTGTAGTCAATTAAGTAATAGAAAAGAAATATTTTGAACCAGAGGTATTCTGCCCCTACCAAACTCACCCCTAATTACCTCCTGGATCACTGTTTTACTGTGAAGAATTCCGATTGCGTCCAACTTCTGTAAATTGTTAGATTTCGACGTGAAGAGTGGAGAGAAGCAAAATCTCACTCACAGCAGAGCTAAAATCAGTAAGCACTTATTAAATACCTCTGTGCAGAACATTGTGCCAGGGGCCCCTTAAGATTTAAGCCTGGATAAATGGGAGAGTCATGTTACTCAGCAGTGATAAGTTAGATGGGGGAGCTTTAAGGGGGGAAATAAACATCTAAGATGTTGAGTTCAGGTTACATTAACAAACAGAAGTGAAGATGAACCACAGGCAGTTAGAATGACACTAAGAAGATTACTTCCTCAGCAGAGAACTGCCGAGCTCTCCCAAGTCTTTAGAGGAACAATGCGTCAGGAGCGTGGGGTTTGTTAACAAGAGAACGGGGCTAAGAGCAGGGTCAGAGAAGAGCAGGAGGATTGCAGGCTGGTGGTCAAACGTGTTAAATGCACATGGCCTGGGAATCAAGACTGAAGGTGGCTCTGGCAAGTTTATACTGAGATGTTAGATCCTGAGAGAGCAGGCATTTGGAGGCAGAAGCTACACTGAAGGAAACTTAAAAGATCGAAAGCCTGGTGAAGAAAAGGAAGCCATAGCCTAGGAGCTATTCTGACAAAGGAGGAACAAGCAAATACAGGAATGCCGCCAGAGGCAACAGGGTCCTGCAGAAGACCCAAACAGGAAGGTTTCGCACAGGTGAGCACCAACAGGGAGAAGCCAGCGATGGAGAGATGATGGGAAAGGAGGCACACCTCTGCAGAGAGAGAGGTCTCTCAGGAATCTGAACAGACAGGAACTGGTGGCAATGAATGAGGGTCAACCACAGAGAGAGGAACAGTGCTGAGCTCCTGGGGCAGACTGCAGTCAGCACAGGATGGTTCACTGCAGACATGACCAAGAGCGCCACAAGCAGGGTTAGTCCTGGAAATGCGACCTATCAGGCCGTTGTAGTGACCAGTGGGTGACAGATTCTTAGTGATGCTTCCTGCAATCAAAGCACTTCTAGGCAGGGGTCTTTAGTATAAACTGGATATGTATTTTTCAGGTGGAATTCAAGCAAGGAAAAAGTCAAGATAAAATATTCCCACACAGCCATTTGGAGCGATCCTGCAGTCACTGTTTTATCAGCAGACTGCCCACTGTCCACTCGGTCTCGTGATGAACGGACTACAGCCTGAGCCAAGAGCTTACGTCCCACTGCGGAGACCATAAAGAGTGCCACCAGACCGTACGGTCAAACTTGAAAACCTTAAAACGCATGCAACTTCTAATTAGTAACTGCTCAGAAGCAGAGATCAAGGGGATGAAATCTTGTTTTCTTATGTACCGAGGCCCCAACTGCTTTAACCCAGGCGTCCTCTTAAAAGAGCCACTGTCCAGGGTGAGCACGTAGTTTGACTTCGGACTGTGGCTGCATAAAATATGCAAAGCACCAGGATATAAAGTATCAAGCAAATCCTAAGTGCTGTGACTGTCTTTTGTGTATAAATGTGAAGGTGCTCCCTGTCAAAGTACTGAACAGACCTTATTCCAACAAAGCCGGAAACAGCAAGGGACCAAATCTGAGGAGCCAAGTGACTCTGGGCTCTGCGGAGCTGTTTCATCACTGACAATCGGGTGATACAGGGCAGTGTCAGGATCCATGACAGTGTATGCAAAAGAGCACAGTAGATGCTTGACACAAATCTGTTCAGTATGGCACTCTGCTTGACTGAAGTATTTCTCAAACTCCTTTTCTCCTTAAGCACCTATTTTGACAAATGTGACTAAGATGGGTGATTGGATTGGTATGATTTCTGGAGAAAACCTAACTATGCAGAAAGGGGATCGACTTGCCTTGGGTTGCTCCTGGTCTGTGCTGAAATTCTGAGGTGAGTTTAAAAAATGCTGTGGACAGCAATGGCATCACTGGGAACTCGCCAAGTATTCTGAGAAAGACTGCCACAAGCTGGATGTGCAGGTTCTAACAGGTCTCTTACAAAAGCAACTCCCCTTGCTGGCTTTATTACTCTGGTCATATTCACTATTAAATCCAGTGCCAGCCATCTTACAGGCCCATCTTAACACTTTCATTCGTTAGTTAAAAAAAGAACACTATTTAGCTTGTATATTCAGTGGAATTCAACTATTATTCCACAATGAAGTCCAAAAAGGACTATACACTCCTCCCCCTTAAGCTTCATGGGATAACAAGAAGCATGTTATTACATTCATGTTATTACACTATGGTAGTTTACAACAATCACATCAACCACTCACCGTGCGCCAGGCAGCACATTACATATACTAACTCCTAACAACCCTATGAAGCAGGCCCCCAAACTGAAGAACAGTAAGGTCATGTAATTTGCCTTCTACGAAAAGAGATCTGCAATTTGAACCCAGGCAATACGACACCAGAGTCCATGCTATCCCTTAGTTATTTCTTTTTGCTACATCAACAACTAAATTTTAAAGGAAGAATCAGTAACACTTTATCAAGGGTGTATAGGTAACAGAATTGGACAATTTAGGACTGACACCTCCAGTATCACTCAATTTACAAAAGAACACACGGAGATTGGAGATTAGCAGCCTTCCAAAGGACACTGTTACTAGTACCCAGAGGTCTCCAAACTTCTAGGCTAGCATGCCATACTGCTCTGTTCAACCTCACAGACTTACAGACTGGGAGAGGCAGGATGCTAACGATACTGGGTTAGCACCAGGAATATTTCTGAACCATTCAATCACATGGGATAACGGCAAATGAAAACCAGCCCACATTTCTTTTCTTTAAAAAACAGTGATAGGGTTCCATATTATAATCATGTACTATAAACTGAGGATAAGACAGAGAGTCCACAGGCTAGCAGAGGCAAACAGACATGTCAACAAGGTGTCAAACTGTCCCAACTACCATGACAGAAATCAGCATAAGGGACAGTAGGAGGACAAAGGGAGGCACAGACAAATCGTCTTTGTGATTTATGGACTTTCTTTTCTAAGGGTACTGGATGTTCTCAGGCCCCATTATGCCTGAGAGAAATTCATATTTGAATCGATGTCTAGTCTTTTTCAAGACTAGACATCCATTCAGATATGAAGGCTAGACAGAAGCCTTAACTTGTAATCCCAGTTCTACCACTAAGGGGTTATATAACCCAAGGGCGACTACTTCACTTTCTTTCATCTCTAATATAAAGATGCATCTTTCAACTCTTTACTACTTGAAAACCTAATCAACCTATTAAATCTATCTTGAAGAAAATGTTTTTAAAGACCATGATTCTATTAGTCAACGGGACATTTAAAGAACTGTGTCATTAACAGAGATTCACAGGGTGCTGTGGATAACTGAATAATCATATAACAAAAATGAAGTGTCAAATTTCAAATAATTAAATATTCATACCATAAACACTAACAAACAAATCAATTTATAGTAGTTCAATAATGGGTTTTTAAAATGTTCTGGGGTTACCTGAGGGAGCCCTGGTGGCGCAGTGGTTAAAGTGCTTGGCTGCTAACCAGAAGGTTGGTGGTTCAAACCCACCAGCTGCTCTGCGAGAGAAAGATGTGGCAGCCTGCTTTCATAAAGATTTACAGCCTTGGAAACGCTATGTGGCAGTTGTACTCTGACCTACAGGGTCGCTATGAGTCAGAATCGATGGCAGTGGGCTTGGTTTTGGGGGGGTTAACTGGTATTTATATGCTATGGTACAGTATAGATGTAGTACATTCAGTACTGAGGTTATCTGAACTTTCTGAGTGCTGGATTCTGGAACAGCAAGTATTAATGAACTGCTCAAATGCTTAGTTTTATGAAATTTCTGTCTTAAACACAGTGCAGGGGAAAGAACGTGTGAGTTTTAGAATAAGCCCTGAATCCATATTTAACATGTAACCTTGAGCAAGCTTCTTAAACTCAGGAGGTTTTGTTCTCATCTATAAAATGAGAACAGTATCACCTTCCTTCAGTGGGCTGTTGTGAAGGTTTATGAGGCAATGAATGGAAAGGGCCATCAGAATAGCGCGCACACAGCTGATGTTTAATAAATGCGTTCCCTTCCCACTGCTTTACAAGAGCAGTTAAATGGTACCCAAACCTAAGAGCTATATTCCAAAATAATTCTAAAATCTAAAAAAGAAAAACTGACCCCAGAACTTCAGGTGATGTAATTAATTACTGTAAAGTCCATGCTTTTGCGTAAATGAAAAAGATAGAAACACCACACAAACGCTAATTAGTAAAGTTCATAGAAGTCCTCAAGAAATTATTATTTAGAAGTTTTTAAGTTAGTTCTTAAGTTTTGTTCGTCCCTCCCAATATCTTCTAAGGATGATGTTCTTATAGACATCCGGAACTGCTTAGCAACCAAACCTAATGTTCCACTTGTACTAGTAACAGGGTCTTGTTTATGCTAAGTTGCTCTTCACTAAACCAGAGACAGTAGTTCAAACCAGGATTTTATTTAATAAAATTAGAGCAAATATACTGATTTTAGCTCTACAGCTACAAATGATGCCACCCAAAACTGTGGTAAATTACTTAAATTATTTCACTATTCAAATGCACTAACCAAGAGCATTTTCCTTCATACCAAGGGTATGGAGATCACTGTACTAGAAAAGATGAATGCTATAAGTAGCCTTGCCTATTATTACATTCATTTACTGTGCCTCCAAAATAACACGAGCCATTAAATAAAGGCTTCAGTGCACATCACTGTCCCTCCTCTCCCCAAGAGCCAAAATACAATTTCAGTTTAATTCACTGCAAATATGCCTTTTAGGCAACTGCTTTTAAATATTTTTTCTAAGGACTAAATTTGCCTTTCCCTCCTATCAAAGTCACCACTTTCTCAATTTAAGATGAAAAATCTCATCAAAGTCAAGTCAATGTTCCTTTCCTTGTGATTCCTATGTTTCTTCAGGTTTCTAAGTTTGAGGTCTCACTTCTCCCATTTCCCCCTCCTCAGACAACACGACGGGGCAGGAACAGTCTTAGAAGCCACCTACTGCGTAAGACAGACCACAGTGAATGATGAAGCTATACAACCAGGATGGATCCATGCTTTATGAACACATTATTCCCACACATCTGAGAGACAGGTATGATACACAAGATCCTTAAGTTCATTTTACAGATTATGAAACCAACCTGTTCAAAAAGTGAATTCTGAAACCATGGTTGGTGCAGCACAGGAACATAAGAAAACGAACAAAAAATTCATCCAAATATTTACATTTTAAAAAAGACATAAAAAACATAGGCTACTTATAAGTGTGCTTGAACCAACCATGTGTGGAACTGAATTCCATTCATTATGGAGTTAGTTTCTGCTAAATACTTATTGATGCTACAGTAGACCCCTGACATCTGTGGATTTAAGAGTTTTCAACTGTTCCCAATCTATACTTACAAAAAAAAGAGAGAGAGAGTGAGAGACAGGTAGTAAATTCTACGTGTCTGAGGCACTGACCTGAGCCTCAAGAGGTGGAAGGGCTGGCACGTAAGGTTCACAGAGGAGAAGTGCTGGCGGCTGGAACTCAGTGTGGCATGGCCACCACCTGCTTGCTACCAGGTATTCAATAAAACTCTCCAGAGGCTATTTACACTTTGTAATTACATACTTCTCTGCATTACTTTCTAGTAGTTTCACCAATTTGGACATTTGCAAAAATATTTTAGAATATATTCCTTGAGGAAGTGGAGGCTCTCTTATATTACGTTAAACAACAAACCATGCAATTTCTGAGATCTCATAAAGCTTTTTCAAAATGAACTACTGATCATACAACCCAATTAAAAACTCAAACACTTCATATTACAGGTATGGACAGTTTATAGTCTAGCAATGTCAATATAGGGAATTTGACATCTTAGCCCTTCCTTGCAAAATGATTAAGAACCATAGAATAATTTCTATTCTAATGTCATTGGTTCTGGCTCAAATAGGTGGGGATTACAGAGAGAAGGAGAATTAAAGACAGGTCAGGAATTCAACAGACACTAACATTTCATTTACCATTTCCTTAAAAATATATGTGAGAGAATATGGCTTAAAGACAGAGGGGCGTTTCCATCTTCTTTGTTCTTACTATTTTACTTTACCCTTTATTTAAACTTAATTTACTACCTAGAGCAAGAGTAACTCTAAGAGGATTTTACGGTGTCCAATTTAATTTCGGTTCCGAGAATCTTAAGTGCTTACATTTTTAAAAATTTTCAGATTAAAAAAAAGCTCATGCCACAACCAAAATACCCAAAAGATTAGATAAAAATAATTAGTTAACAACAACAACAACAACGAAAAAAATCAAAGTCATTTCCTTTACACGTCAGAATTAGTTGGAATATATTTTTAGCCCTGTAACTTGACTTTCTGCTTTGTCTGTAGACTAACAAAGTTTTTTTAAAGCAAGGTTTCTATTAAGGAGAGAAAAACTGTCTCTTTAAAAAGTAAGTCTAAAATCATTGCAGAGCTATCCTCTGGGTCAAAAATAGGACGACGACGGACAACACAACTCAGTCTGCACAGGTACTACTTTCTGTTTGTCAAAAAAAGGAGGGTGGGGTAGAATTTTAGATATCAAAGTCAGAAGAATTTTCATGTTTCACAATTTTGTTGCTAAAGGTCCCCAAATTCCTTGAGCTCATTTGAGTTTTCTGAATGTGCGCATTATAGTAAACAGCAGCAAAATACCAAAACAATTCTATTGCTAAAAAGTAGCTACTCCTGTGTGTGCCTTTAGAATATTACTTGTAAAACAGCAACAATGACAACAAAATGCTAATTTTGTGCCAGCAAAGGGGATGTGAACTACTCTAAAGAAGAAATAAATTATTTTCTTTAAAACATTCTAAAGCATGACAGCTATAATCATACTGGGCAAATAGTCAGAGTTTGTGGGGGAGAGAATATCAGAAAATGTCAATAGGGACAAGTCAACAGCATTATGTTGAGTATTCTAAAGGCATTCAGGTAGTTCAACAATGATTCTGGTAAGACCAACTGCTCACATACATACACACACACACACACATAAATTTTAATGGTTTAAAAAAAAACCAAATTTGTTACTTTAGAAAAATGAATGCAGTGCACTTTCGGCAATATTATCGCCATAGACTCTGATTGCTCGGTCCACACATAAGTAGCAGGCGCCTTCTATGGTGATATGGCTTCGCTGCACTAATTCTCATCAGGCCGAAAAATATTAGGGCAGGTTAAGTAAAGACTGAATTGTTGCACAAAGGAACATTTACTCATCAGATCCCACTGATCTCTTCTGTGCCCGTTTCCTGGGCAACCTTCTTGGTGAAGCTTTATCTGGAAGAAAAGAAAAAGTTTTAAGCTTGGCTGACCTATTATAAATATGTTGGATTCAAAAGTATTTAAAAAGTATTTCCTTCAACTTTTAAGTTAAACACACACACGCAAGAATACCATCTAATAATAAATGCGTCTTACCTAGCTATCAGTTTTTAAAATAATCTTTAAAATAATCCTTCAAGAAGTAACCTCCATTAAAAGGAAACATTTTTGTAGTAAGGAGGAAAAAGATCTAATCCTGGTTGCTGTAATGTTGAAGACACCATGAAAAAAATTCTTTAATTCTACAATTTAACGTTTATACATGCGTTAAGTAAACACTTTTAGAAACAGTTTAAAAAGGTATGAAATTTGCAGGTCAAAAATTTTATGTTGGTCACAAATTACAGACTCAATATTTACAAATGCAGTCATGCAGTTTGCTTAATTTCTGGGAATTTCACAGATTTACCTGGAATAAGCAGAATAAAGGAAATGAGTCAATATTTCAATACTAAAGACTATCCTACACACACAAGCATCGTCTTTTTACTTCTTTCCCTTTATCTCCTCTGCTAAATTTTTACTGGGGTCTATTTACCAGAAACAATCAGTTCTACTTTTATCCGATATGAGAAGCCATCTGTAAGTTTCATTAAAAAGTGAAGGACCGAAAAAAGATGTTTTCACCAAAGTATGGGGTTCAATTCATTTGTAAGCATTTCATGAGTAATGATATGAAAGACAAAAAAGCTACCTAAAACATCTTAGTTTTTGTTTTTCAAAATTATTACATCACTATATCTATATTTAAAATATACATAGTGAATGTTTATCAACAATAGAGAATAAAAATTCTGCTTAAACAGTCTGCTTAAGAGTTAAGACTGAGTCTATAAATCACATGAAAATTGACCTCAGTGCTCTATTAAATAGGTTAGTAATAGGCAGGCTATAGGGGGTTTTTGAACTTGACTAAAACCAAGTTCAAAAGTTTGAGCACAGATGCATTTTTATGATGAAGAAAGTCTATGACTTTCACCAAATTTTCAAACAGGTTACCTAAAAAAGGCTAGGAACTGCTGCCCTTATGCAACTGACCAATTTTTTAAAAAATTAAAAATAACCAATATGCCGAATATAATCTAATCTTTGAGGGTTAAAAAACAGTACTTCAAAAAGTACTTTAGAATCAAGTAGCTATCTCTATGACTATCAACTGTGAACAAGTAGATGTGAAGTGGTGATTACTGACTTCCAACAATTTCAATCACCTGCAACAAGGCTTTAACTAAGGGAACACATGAAACGGGGCCTCTGAGGCCCTGGAGTGCCCTTTTCAACATACAGTAAGGCAGACAATTCAGCTTACCTTAACCATGAGTCTAAAAACCCTGATTCTCTGGTGTCTAGCACATCAAAGTTAGGAAGCAGACAAATGAGAAACTGAGTAAGATAGCATTTTGGGGTCATTTAACTTTTGGGAAAATGGCTCCAAATACCAAATAGTCAGAAAGCAGCATTTTGTTTTAGCAAAGAACAATAACCGCTGTGTGTATGATGATGCTTCTCAGCTACCAAAAAACAATTCCCCACCTAACACCTCCCCTCAGAACTAAAAAAATGAAAGAAAAAAAAATCCAATAAATTATTTAGGACCAAAATATTTTAGCTTTTAAAAGGAAAGCTTAAACTATATGGGGGAAAAAAATCACTTAAGCAAAATAAAACGCATCACTCCCCAATGATGTTGAATAAATTGGGCAGACATGAAAATCTCTCCTCTGCCCATTTAAAAGATGTTTTAAAAATTCACCTAATTCGTTATAGTAAAATCTTAAGTCACTAGAATTTCTTTTCATTATTAGAAAGAAACAAAGGAAAAATTTTTACCAGAAACTTAAATTCACTCCGATCCCCTATCTTAGACTGCACAGCCAGTCTAATTTCCTGTCTTACTTAGGGAGTAGTACTATATAAATAACTTTTATCAATGAGATTTAAGTCATAAGTTTTCTAACTAGCCCCCGACTTAACAAGAAATTCAAATTACACAAAAGACTTCATTCTTGCAGCTTCTCATTAAGGTTTCCCTATGTATACATTTAAAACTTCAGTATTAACCAAAGATCCCATGCTTTTCTGTTAAAATCAGCTAATCTGTCACAGTTAAAAAGACTTCCAATTATATGCATTTACTTTAACTTTCCTAACTTCAGGGATATGGAAGCACCCTAATCTGAAATGCAAAGTTATTAGGAAAAAAATGCTTAGTAAAAGGCTCAAATTATTTCAAACCACCTCTCCTACCCTTATATTCTAATGAGTGAGACAGAGATGAGAAAGCTCCTGCGAAATTAAATATTGTTGTTGTCTGGTGCCGTGGAGTTACTCCCGACTCGTAGTGACCCTACATACAACAGAACGAAACACTGCCCAATCATGCGCCATTCTCACAATCTTTGTTATGCTTGAGCCCATTGTTGTAGCCACTGTGTCAGTCCATCTCATTAAGGGTCTTCCTCTTTTTTGCTGACCCTCCACCTTACCAAGCATGTCTTTCTCCAGGGACTGAACCCTCCTGCATCCTCTGAGCACTTTCCAACCTGAGGGGCTCAACTACCAGCACTGTATCACACAATGTTCCGCTGCTATTCATAAGGTTTTCACTGGCTAATTCCTTTCAGAAACAGACAGCCAGGTCCCTCTTTCTAGTCTGTCTTAGCCTGGAAGCTCAGCTGAAACTTGTCCACCATGGGTGACCCTACTGATATTTGAATATCGTCTAAGACAACGGTTCTCAAAGTGTAGTCCATGCAAATTCTTGGGTCCTACCCTAGACCTACTGAATCAGAACCTCTGGAGGAGTGGCCCAGCAATCTGTGTTTAACAAGCCCTCCAGGTGATTATGACGCATGCTGAAGTTTCAGAACCACTTCTCTAAAAAACCAGGTGGAAGAGAAACAATATATAAGCATATAAAATTAAGCAAAAATATTAATGTTAAAGGTAAATTGCAAATATAAATATGAATTCATGATTAAAAAAACATATGTATTTGCCATCTCAGTTCACATGAAGGCCTAGAAACAATGTCACCCGGTATAAATCACGTCCCTAGAGTATAGATTTTAGTTTCTAATATCATCCAGGGATCCTTGGAGAAATGGCTAACTCCATATCTAGGGGAGAGAAGGTACAAAATGAGTTTGGATTATCTTGTTGAGCCAGCAAGCCAGGGATCGGTCAAAGATCAAAGGGATAAGATTGAGACACCTCGAAGGGGCTCCCAGTAGCCAAAATTGTAACAATTTGAGCATCAAAACAATATACTTGACTAAAAGACACCAATTCTACGAACACTTGAGTTTATGTAAGATCATTAAAAAACAAAAGAGAAAACTAGAAAAAATTCATTTGCTACCATTTGTCTAGCTTTGGAAACAACTCCTTACTTTAAAAGAATTGGTAAATGAAGGGAAATACATTAAGCATTTATACTGTCTTTCCAGTAGGAACTGTCTTTTAGGGTAACCAGAAAGCCCCGGCTGATGAAGAAAAGCTCTATTTTAAAGAGAATGATAGCTAGTCAAAGCAGAAGATATTACAATTGCAAAAATCATCATTAACAACCTCTGATAACATTACTGTGCATGCAGGGATCATCAACTGGTGGTGTGTCATGCCAAGGCAACGCCACACAGATAACTTCTATGATGCAAGAGGAAAGACCTAACCTCACCATAAAAAGATCATGCAGCTACCACCCCAATCTAGTGCTGATCATGGGACAAGGAGCCCTGGTGGCCCAATGGTTAAGCATTTGGCTGCTAACTGAAAGGTAGACGGTATGAGCCCATCTAGCGGCTCCACAAAAAAAGACCTGGTGATCTGCTCCTGTGAATATTAAACAAAAACCAAACCAAACCCATTTCCATTGAGTCGACTCTGACTCATAATGACCCTACAGAACTGCCCCATAGTTTTCAAGACTGAAATCTTTATAGAAGTGGACTGCCACATCTGGTGGGTTTGAACCACCAACATTTTGGGTAGCAGCCAAGCCCTTAACCACTGTGCCACCAGGGCTCCTTGTAGGGACTTACTATGCCCCAATAAATTGGCCACACCAAGTCCTTGTCTCCCTGGGGAGATGGGGAGAGCGCAAATCTATGAATGCCTCCTGCAGAAAACATACTTTTTTCTAATTTGTATGAAGGCCACATATTATGTTAATGCTAGTTCTAGAAACCTGGATTTTCTCTTTTTCTAGCCCCCTAGAAAATGCTAGGGGGCAGCTCTATTCTGTTACATGGGGTCACTATGAGTCGAAACCGACTCAACAGCATCTAACAACAATCTGATACTGTTTTGTGATGTGATAAATCTGATAGTTTCTTGATGTGATGCAGAACGAAGCACATATTACCTACGATGTACACTATTAGCTAAAAATGATTAACTTCAATCTAATCAAGCCTATAGATTTAATTCCACTTTAAATAAATTTTAGCTAAAAGATACCAGGCAAAAACAGTAAAATAAATTTGGAAGGTGGGCTTTTTTACTGTTATTACTCCATGAGGTCCATGGACCAGTAGCCTCAGCAATATCGGGGTGCCTATGAGAAATGCAGAGTCTCAGGCTCCACCTCAGAGCTACTGAATCCCAATCTGTAATAATTTGTATACACAGTGAAGTCTGAAAAGCACTTTCATACAGGACAAGTGACACATCTCTTGAGCTGTTGTAATTTAAAAGGGACCTAAGAGATATAACAACCAGATGCAATGCATCATCGTGTGTTGGATCTTGGTGTGGGCAACCAGCTGGTAAAGGACATTTTTGAAACAACTGGAGAAATTTCAACATGGACTGGTTATTATATATAATTAATAAAATGATCAATCCTTTGTGTGTCATAATGTTTCAATTAGGAAAATATCATTTCTTTCACAACTGAAATATCTTAAGGGTAGTGTGTCATTTTATCTGTAACTTAAAAATATCTCAGCATTAAAAAAGAAACTTAAATAAATGACTTTTGTATAGAAAAAAGAAACCTACACTCTAAAAGAGCAAATAATCATGTCTGTGCAACCATACTTATTTTTTCACACCTTTCATTCTCCTTCACCTTTATTCCCCTAACTCTGAAATGCCTGCAGGGCTCCTTTGATTCCACAGAACAAGGCTCCTGATCTGGGATCACGACTCAGGGTTTGTTAAAAGCAGTAACCGGGAGAAAGGAGTGTGTTTATGTGTGAGTGAGGTGTCTGTCTTCCAGCTAGTTTCAAATTTCCAAAAACAATGAGTAATTTCTGAGATAAACTTGTAGTAGGCAATGCAGCAAAAGTTCCTTGAATTTGATAAAAATTTTAGCATCTTAATTGGATAATTCTGATTAGCTCATGCTGTTCAGAAGCTCTACTATTTTGTGAAAAATCTTCAAACCAAGGATTTATTTAAAAAGAAAATGAAAGAGAAGAATAATAAAAGGGTCTTCGGTGGTAAGATCAGTACCCATGGTCCTAAAACAAACTCAGGTTGCACAATCAGATTTTGAGTAAGATAAGCAAGTTTCATTAAAGAATGTTTAGTGCTTTTAATTCCAGCCATCTCTGAGTATTAAGTCTCACCTCTCTGGCATGATGTATTAGAAAATACATGGACTTTAAAAGGAGACAAATCTAGTTGTGAGTCCTGGCAAGTTGATTTTTCTGAGGAGTAATTTTCTCAGCAGTAAATACAGACAGCAATTTACCTTGCAAGTGAACGCCGAGTACACAGAAGGCATCCAAAAGTCTGTTAAATTCTTTCCGTCTGTAAGCCCTCTCCTGACTGTACAGGATCCCTTTTCCTAACTTCCAAGTTGTTCATATTACTCATTTTAGCACATAATCACATACTGTCTCTGATTATTCAACTATATCATAAACATGCTTTATTTCTTTAAGTAGAAATGTATATCCCTGAGAGAACAGTAATATTCTAAACTTCTTATAACATACCACTCAGAACCTAGCATAGTATTACGACACAGTACTCAATATACGTAGACTGAAAAATATAATACATAATTTGAATTTTGCTCTATAAGTGTGATAATTCTCAGCTTTTAAGTTCATGGATGACAATGTCAGGGAGACATATTATAAAACCAACATCCCAATATTTTTGTCATGTAAGAATTTTTTTGGGAGGGTGGCTCCATAGCTGTTGCCATGACTTCAGTTTTTAATTAACAGTTTTTATGCAGATACAGGTACAGCTAATTCTGTGTAGACATTTAAAATTTAACTATTTTTGAATAACTTGCATTTTAAACATAAACCATAACTTCCTGAGAGATTCTGATGAACTATAAACAGGTCATGGTCCACATACACTTCCACCCAGTTCGATTTTTTGCTGGACTGCATGTCAGGATGATAAATCTGTCCTGACAGAGAAAGATGATTCACTCCGGTGACTTCAGCTATGACCACTTCTGCCGCACGTCCCAATGTCTTCGAAATCTCTATTCGTGTGCTCTAAAATGGAACTTTCAAATGCTTACTGCACAGCCTTATCTTGGTGTCCATGGGCCCCTCTCAGACCTAATCTAAACTCACCTCTCCTTATCATATGTGCTCCCCGTCCTGTAATCTCCAACACATTAATGGTACCATCTGCCACTCAGTGGCCTAAGCTCAGAGTACATTTCACTCAAAAAGTTGCCCCAAGTCCTGTCTGCTCCACTTCTGAAACATCTTTCTACTTTTTTACTCCCATCCCTACTGCCTTAGCTTAGGCCCCAGTGGTTTCTCACATGTTTTACGGAAATCATCCAGATGGTATCCCTGCTTCCAGTAGCTCCTGCTTGCCAGCCATCAAAACTATAATTTCCTTTGAAACACAAATATGTAACTTCTCTGCTCTAAAGTGTCCAATGGCTCCCTTTTACCTAGAAGATAAGTCAACTGTCCTTAGCCTAGCACATAAAACCTTGAAGACTCCTTATCGCCAACCTTTCATGATGTGAACTCCTCCTGTGAATCCTTTCCAAGCTTTCCTGGAGGGAGAAGGTCCCTCCCGTGCTCTCATTACTCTGGGTCCACTTGTAATAAAGTGCCTATCACACTGTAATTATGTTTCAATACAGAGAGACCACAGGAAGCAATTAAAAAAAAAAAAAGAAAATTCAATTTTCAAAACTGGAAAGGACTTGAACAACCAATTCCCAGGAAATGAAATACTAAATGGTCAACAAATTTAAGCGTAAGGAAGTCCAACCTCACGCTTAAGAAATATAAATTTAAAAATGATGACATGCTATTTCTTATGTAACATACTGACGGACTAAAACATTTGATAATACCTGAGAATGATTAGTGAGGGTAGAGAAGCAAGCAATATTGTACACTTTTAAGAACACAAACTGGCCCTATCTTTTGGGAGGCAAACGTGACACTTTCCATAATTTAAATACATACAACCTTCAACCTAGCTATTCCACTTTTAAGGACGTATCCTACAAATTTATATATAAAAATATTATAGTGTTATTTGCAACAGTGAAAGACTGAAAATAACTTAAATATCCTTCAATATAAAATAGGTTTAATCTATTAGGACACATGTATGTGTAGGCATATTATGCAGTTATTAAAAGAATGAAGTAAAGAAATATGTAACTAGCATAAAGACATCCAAGGCACGAAAAATCAAGTATGAACAGTATGATCTCATTTGTGCGAAACACTCACATAGAAACCACAAACATGTATGCTTATATATGCATAGAAAATACTTGGAATAATATACAAACTTAACACCGAAGTGGGATTAGTGGAGCCAGGTGGCAATCTTAGCTTTTCACTTCTGTACTGCTTCGTTTTTTACAATAAGCTCATATTGCTTTTGTAACAAATGTTTTTTAAAAAGTTCTTCTACAATTAGAAAAAAAAAATTCTTTTTACAGATCAATATTTTAACGAATTGCGTATGTAATAGAACTGGAATATATCTGTTGGATATTATTTTAGGTTTATTCTTTCAAGCTGTAGTGAGTAGTCTTTCCAGTAAACACAGTATTCAAAAACCATTCTATCATTCATTAAACTTGCTGTAGTCACATGCTATGCAAGAGCCCCCAATATTATTGAAACCCCATTAAAAAAACTGCCTCACCTCTTCTACTCTGCACTGAAGCAACAGGAAAAAAAAGAGACAGGAAAAAGATTAGGAATATAGAGAATCCACACATTTGTAAATAAATCGCACGACTGGAAGTATTTCTAAACTAAAGTATTAAAAAAACCACATTGACTAAAAATCTTCATAATCATTATACTAGATTCTAAAGAAGTAATGGAGAGACAAATTTCAAATGGTATCGACCAAGCATTTTTGGCTAAATCTAAGATATTAAGAGAAACTTCCGAGCAAAGTTTTAAGAGTACTTACTGATCTGATTCAAAGTTTCCTGAGGAATCCAACTCATATCAACATCATTCTGATTTGACGTACCCATTTCTACTTTCTGTATGGGTCTCTTGCGCTAAAAAGACATGGAAACATATTTTAAAGGATTCCCATTATGACATTTATTATACTTTTTAAAAATCAACATACTTAATCTAAATATCTCGGTAGAGATAAATATATTCTTTTCCAGTTTTAAAACATTCTTACTCAAATATTTTATTAATTAGAGGGGAAAAATCATATCTAGCACCATCTATATAAAGAACAGAATAAATCCCCACAATAATTATTTATTCTCAGGCTACAGGTATCTTTTCCTTTGCTGTAAAGCTTCATATACTATACAATTGGTGAACCAAATGAGAAATTCTATTTATACAATAGTTTTCTTTCCCTTTGAGAATCAAATTTAATAAAAAATAAATTTATTTCTACATTCAGCAAAATTCAGGATAATTACTGGACTGTTATAGGAATGCAGTTTCTGAACTGTCAGCTGAATACACTAAAAATTGGCATAGATAAAACAAAAACATAAAAACTCATTTAAGCTGTAACCTCAAACTTTCTTCCAAGAGTATCTGTAGCAAAATGACTAGAAAGTAAAAAAGTTATTCAATTCCATTCTTTAGGCCCTCCCTTGTCTTAAAAACAAATACCCTCAAAGTGATCTATGCAAAAAATAGATTATTAACTATACAAGTCTACAAATTAGATTCTGAATACACAGAAAGATAATTAAAAAATCGCTCCATTCAAATGGGGAAAAAAAATGGCAATGCAGTGGTACCCAATACTCAAAGTTATAGCAAAAACGCTATTATGAAAATGTGGCAAAGAAAGTTATGCAATTTACCATTTTATTTCTGTTTTAAAAACAAAGTGCCTATTCATAACACTTACTGCTAATTTTAATATAAATTTGACAGAAATAAATTGTACTATACTTTTCCACTGAGAGGAATAGTGTATTTTTGGTTCTTGTTTGTTTTGTAGGGGCTGAGGGTGGAGGATGAGGGAGAAGGGGAAGAGAAGAATTGCAATGAGGACGCGGTGGAAGAAACAGCTACCAAGTCCAGAGTGAGAACCATGGTTACAGCAGATACTTTGCTGTTGCCATTTTACTACCCTAACAAAAAATGTCCACTGATAGAACAAATACAGCCAAGCTCTTTTTCAAATAAAACCAACCAAAAACCAAACCCCTTGCTGTTGAGTTGATTCCAACTCATAGTGACCCGATAGGACAGGGCAGAACTGTCCCACAGAGTTTCCAAGGAGCGGCTGGTGGATTCAAAATGCCTGCCTTTTGGGTAGCAGCCAAGCTCTTAACCACTGTGCCACCAGGGCTCCTTTACAAATGAAAGGCCGCCTTTAATTGCTTAGGACCTATATCTATAGTTTAAATTATCTCTATCATTTAAAGCAAATATACTGAAAACTGAGTTGCTTACGTACAAAATAACGTATCCATGGAAACATGTAACACATGGAAAAATGAAATCTGAATTTGAGTCTCTTGTTCAGGTTTTCTGTTAAAAAGGTACAGCACAGCTGGAAGTATACAAACCTAGAGCGCTCAGCTATGATTACCTTTCTAGATTCTAGGAGCTGATGAAGGCCAACAACAACCAGTAGCCCAAGACCAGCAAGGAACATATACATAAAGATTCTGATAGAAAAAAAGAAAATACACATTTGCTTCAATTAATAGGAAATACCATAGCTAATTACAACTATAATCCTAACACATGATACAAACTTTCCAAATAACTGTGAGGGAAAAAAAAAAAGTATTTTTTAACTCAACTTAGATTCAGATATTAATTTTTATAAGTTTACTTTAGCTTTAAGAGTAACTAGTCAATAAAAAAAATCCATTCTATGATCTAAAATGAATTACTTATAAATTATGTTACAAAAACACAATTACTTATAAACTATGTTAAATTCAAGGCTCACAAACAGTTTTAAAACAGCTGCATGAGGTTGTTGTCTCCTTCAAATATTAGATTATTTTCTACAATTTAACAACCACTTTAGATGTTAAGTATACAGTACGTGATGGCTCATCATTCATAATATAAACCTCTGCAAAGAACACTAATATTTTTCAAGATGAAATCTTCTAATTTGTTTTCAATAGCAATTTTAGAGGTGTGCAACTTAGCTTAGGCTGGTGGTCAGTTTGAGAGCATGGCGTGGAAAAGAATTCAGAAAGAACTGAGAGCTAATTACTTAAAAAAATTTTTGTCTGTTTTAACTATCTTTTCTAACCTGGTATTTATAGTTGTAAGAATCATCTAAAGTACAGACTGCATCATCAGGGTTTCACTAAATGTACACAGTCTATACAATTTTTACCACCTAAAAAATATGTTGACACGAGCAAGCTTTCTAATCCTAGTTTACAAAATCAAGACCTACTTAGTATTGTAACTTTCACTTACGTTTCTCCGTCTAACCCATCCTCTCTTTCAATAATTGTAACTGTTTGATTGAAGACAGCATCTTGGAATACATTACCCTGTTTAAAAGACCAAACCAAAAAACAACACTGAAATGTATTGAAAAAATGAAAGCCAACAAGATTTCCTAACAACAATTCCCTAAAAGAGAGAGACCTATAGTTTTCTCATCACTCAGAAGGTCAGTAAGACTCAACAGAGATGAATACGTAACTGCAGGGACTCAACTTTACCATGCTACCTTCTCCTACAAAATAAAAACATCTCCAACTTGGCCAAAGCTGTCCCTCACTTTCTTTTTGGGAAGGGTGGGTAGGTGGTGTGAGAAACCAGGAAATAAAAACAAGAAATCCCAGCTCCTGTTACTAGCAAACAATGAAGAAAAACATGAAAATGCTACAGTAGTAGATCATTCTAAGAAATAGACTTGAACAAAAGTTAAATTCATGTTCTCAATTAACAATGGACTGAAAACTGATTTCTTTGTAATAAATGGACTGCTAATTTTTACCACCTTCCAAGTATCTTTCTGTTGTGATCTTTTATCAGTCAGAAACAATTCTGTTAGTTCAATACCATTTCAGTTTTCAATCACTGGGACAATACAGAGATGGCTGTCTGAATGTTTGATGCTTCACACAAAAGTAGTACTTTTTCAAAATTGTCATCTACTGCTAAACTCTAATTGTAAGTTTCACTTCAACATCCTTCAATTTGCATTCCTCTACTTAGACAATTCCATGAATCAGAACACACCAGTGAAAATAACAATCAAAATGGAACTGAAACTATATATATGCCTGCTGGATTAACTTTTTAAAAAAAATATTTCACCGTGTTTTAGTTGAAAGTTTACATAGCAAATGAGGTTCCCATTAACAATTTTTATACAACTTGTTCCATGACAGTGGTTAAATTTTTCACAATGTCTGCATTTTCATTCTTTCCACTTTTTGTTCTCTATTAATCTAGTTCTCCTGCCCCTCCTTAGCTTCTCACCTTTGTTTTAGGGTAAACGCTGACCGTTAGGTCTCACATAGCTGATTATTGAAGGCAGCGCAGTACTCATTAGTGATACTGCCTATTTTATAAGCCAATCTATTATTTGGATGAAAGGTGACCATTTGGACTGGCTTCAGTTCCAGGTTAAAAGAGTGTCTCAAGGCGATAGTTTTAGGGGTTCCTCTAGTCTCTATCAGTCCAATAAGTCTGGCCATTTTTAGGAATTTGAGTTTTTTTCCTACATTTCTCTCCCTTTCTATCCAGGACCTCCTATTGTGTCCCTGGTCAGAACCATCGGTAGTGGTAGCCGGGTATCATCTAGTTCTTCTAGTCTCAGGCTAGATGAGGCCGTGGCTCATGTGGGCTATTAGTCCTGTGGACTAGTTTCTTCTTTGAGTCTTTGGTTTCCTTCATTCTTTTGTTCCAGACAAGCAGAGACCAACAGTTGTATGTTAGATGGTCGCCTGCAAGCTTTTAAGACCCTAGATGCTACTCACCAAACTAGCAAGTAGAATATTATCTTTATGAACTATGCTACATCAATTGACTGAGTTGTCCCACAAGACCATGGTCTGTTGGATTAACTTTAATTTTACTTAAAAACAAGATGAAACAGATAATTATCCAAGCTATTTAACTATAAAATTGAAGTTTAATACATTATTTTGCAGACAGAAGGATGAAAAATCCTTCCTCCCCTCTTCTAAGTACAAAAAGAAAACCTAATTACAGTAAGAGAAATTTAACTCAGACATAAGGGAGACATGTTGACACTGGGGTGATTGAAAGACTGTACAAGCTTCCAAGAGAGGATGAAATTTTCTTCTCTGAAAAATTTTTGAAAAAGAAACGGTTTAACGTGCGCTCAACTGAAGGAGGATAGAAGAGTTGGCATTAAGAGGTCAACTCCCAGCAGTAAAATTCTAGCAGGTTTCTCTCATTCATTGGATATATAATATACATAGCAAACATCATCAGAATGACCTCAGAGCTTGAATTAGACTATTTGGTTCCCATAAATTAAAACTAAACAATAAACTGTGCTCTTAAAACTACCTTAAAAATATTTGTTTATATTTTATTCATGAGTATATAAAATGATGGAACAGTTCCAGAAAGTCCTTAAAACTTAAAAATACCAAAACAAAAACCCATTGTCATCTAGTCAATTCTGACTCATAGTGACTCTACAGGACAGAGCAGAACTGCCCCATAGGGTTTCCAAGGCTGTAATCTTTACGGAAGCAGACTGCCACATCTTTCTCTTGTGAAGTGGCTGGTGGGTTTGAACCGCTGACCTTTTGGTTAACAGGTGAGTGCTTAACCACTGCACCACCAGGGCTCTGAACTTATAAATAGCGCCAGTAAAATGGGCAAAAATGCAAGCAACAAAAGTACAAACCAAATCACTTAACATGCATTAACGTCTGAATAAGGAGTACACTCCACTGGGTGGCTTACTGCTTCTTTTCCTTTTAAGACACAGCTGAAGTCACAGTACAGCAGGGCACACCTATCTCCAGCCTGTATCACTTACCACTCTGCAATAGTACCTGTTTATGGATGTAGAGACCTAAAGACAGAGATATGCAATCTATCTGTGCCTCCCTGGTGTTTTATCACACAGTTCCAACCACAAAACAAGCACGTGAATGAACAAATACGGGAGTTATTTATAAAGCAATGTCAGTTTTCCCCATCTATCTGTATCTCTTTAAATAAATGAAGGTTTAGAAGGCCTTACATTCAAATCTTTGTAGTTCAGATTGATGACTAGACCAAAGGGTCGGCCACCCATGGGTTCTGCAGGAATGAAGGAATACTCAAAAGTTGCCTGTCTCTGGGGTGGCACTACAGTGTTCAGAGGAAGAGCTGTGAAATTCTGGATATAAAACTGGTAGTCCTGAGGATAGCGGAATGAGGCATCTAGAGATTCAACAACAAAGTCTTCTGTACCCTTGTTTGTAAAGCCTACCAGGAACTTCACAATGTTATTTGCTGGAAAATCTAAGAAACAAAATAGAGACAGAAAAATTAGAAAACACTCAAAACGTACAAAATAAAAAGTAGCTATTACTAGTGGATTCTGGCACCTCTTCCTGCTGAGCGTGGACTCTATCTTCAGAAGTCTTTTCAAAAGAGTTTTTCACTAGCTAGTGACTGACTAGAGCTGATTCCAACCGTTTTGTCTGTTAACTCCATCTAATATCCCAACTTAAAAGTGCAACCGAGTATCTCAGCTTCAGACCAGATCTCATCCAAATTACGTGATCTAAGAAAGAGTTGTGTACTTCTGGTAGTAAGATTATCATGCAGTGGGACACATGGCTTAGTAATGAAGTCATCTTCCCCTCCAATTCAGTATCTGTTCTCTGTGCAAATAATACAGATCAAAATGACAAAAAGATAAAGTCTATTAAGAGATCCATTCAATCTATCTGAAACTGTAATATTCATTGTATCATATAAAGTCAATCAGGCAATGCCTATGCACTTTAAATAATCAGTCAAAATGCAAATCTGAAGCTAAGACCCAGACAGCTACAAAAACAGGAAAAAAAAACTTTTAATCAATTACACTTTTTTAGGTGTATGGTTCAAAAGTACATAGGAGTAAAACAGAACATTGAGAAGATGAAGAAAATTCACAACTTCTAATATGAAGTCCTCAGTAAACTGTATTGTACTCAACAGAGCTGAGACTCACCCAGAGCCTCGCAGGTTTTGGGGTTAGACAAATCTGGGTCTGCATCCAGTCTCCACGAACTATTTACTAACTGGGTTATTTAACTCTGGACAACTTTTGTGACCTCTCTAAACCCCCGTTTCCTTATCTATAAGATGGGAATAACAATAGTAACAATGTTCACGGGGTTATTTTTGTGTGTGTGCTTTTTTTTTCCCATTTTTTTTTTATTGTTGCAGTTTAAGTGAAAGTTTACATTTCAAGATAGTCTCTTATACAAAAAATTATACATTGTTACGTGATCCTAGCTGCTCTCCCTATACTGTGACAGCACACTCCTCCCTTCCAACCCCGATTTCTCGTGTCCATTCAACCAGCTCCTGACCCTCTCTGCCTTCTCATCTCACCTCTGGACACAAGCTGCCCGTTTAGTCTCATGTATCTACTTGAGCTAAGAAACACTCTTCACGAGTATCATTTTATGTCCCACAGTCCAGTCTAATCTTTGTCTGAAGAGTTGGCCTTGGAAATTGTTTTAGTTCTGGGCTGATAAGAGAAACCGGGGGCCATGCTTTCTGAGGTTCCTCCAGTCTCAGTCAGACAATTAAGTCTGGTCTTCTTACTAGAATTTGTGTTCTGCACCCCACCTTTCTCCTGCTCCATCAGGGACTCTCTGTTGTGTTCCCTGTCAGGGTGGTCATTGGTGGTAGCCGGGCACCATCTAGTTCTTCTGG